GGTAACCGAATGGTTCGCTACTGTGGCAGCATACTCAAGACGGAAAATTTCGGTTCCTCTAACCGAAAGCATTTGTTAATGTAAACAGTGCTTCAGTTAATGAGAACAGGCTATGTATTGCTCCAACTGAAACTCAACTAACTGAATATCTTTGCCTGCTATAACCGAATCTTTTTTTCCGTGTGTGACGTGATTTTTTTCAGTAGGGATGCTTATGTCGACTTGTGTCACTAAATGGAATGCATTCAATAACTATTAATTGATAGTTATAGAAAGTAAACTTACCTGTAAAATATTAAATCACAACGTTCTGCATTTGACTTTACTGACAACAGAATGCCAAACTGAGCAATTAACTGCAAACAAATCATGTAAACAACCAATTACTGTAACAAATACGACATACTAATGTTTATTGAATTCATCGTGTAAATACAAACAGCGAGTGAGTCATATTGGGTACGATTATTTTACTAGATTGATGATATGCGTGAATTTTCTTATAATAATACAAAGAAAGGCGAGCATAAGTAACGATTTTACATAGCACAAAAATCAAACCAGACAACGTTCCAGCAATATTGCTAGAAATGTTCTCTACCATATGAGATTGATTAAATGTTAAGTAACGTAATATTAACAATGCATTGTAAAATTTAGTAATTTACTGTTAAGGTCGATCTTCGACATATCGATGAGGGTAAGAATGGTAGTGTCAAAAACAGCAATGGAGTTGTCGACATTGGAATTGATCTGACGGAGTTTTATACTTCCGTCGAGTGGGATATACTAGAAATACCTGCTGTAAGGTACGCTTTAATGATTTCCTCAATTCTCTTTTAGATCATTAAGATTTTGCGCTTGTTTTATTATGTGCTAATACAGCAATTTTAACAAATTGATAACGACATAGACTGATTTTTTTCCGTACTTAAGCGATTATTTAATAAACATTAATAATTAAACTTTTTATTAATACATATAATAGTAAATAGAGGAAAGTCGCCGATGACATAGGTCTCCTAAAGTGACACCCCCTTATTTTTCGGAAACTAACTATTGCACTTTATTAATATTAATAAAATCATGATCTGTTTAGCTAATTAAAGAACAAACTCATAATTCGTAGATTTGTGGCTTGTTTCTATATCAAATCAGCTAAAAACGAATTCTACAAATGCGAAAATAAAATTCTTACGATCTTCTTGTGCAAATTGTGAGGTTTAAATAATAGTGAATAAAACTATAAGATAATAAAACTATATTATTGATAATATTACGTCATTTTAAATACTTGTAATTTCCAAAATAAGTTTTATTTATATTATTTTTTCTCTTAGTCTTTTCATAATACGATTTTTAATTTAAAATTGGGATGCAGCGTAAACCGACACACTTGTCCGTAAAACAGATCATGAGCAACTTAATCTTTGTAATGTTGCTTTATAGTGTCAAATAAGTCCATTAGAGCTGAAGGCAATCGTGCATATGGAACAACTCTAGAAAAACTATCGCGTTACATATTTGCATCTTGCAGAACAGCATAAAGTAAATATGCATATAATTCAATAAAAAT